ATGCTCACCTTCTGTTAAAATATTCTCTACAGGTCTTTGTCTTGACTGAGTGGCAGCACATCTATAGTGCACAGGCAACACCCTGAAAAGAGTCTTGGTGCAATTCCAGCAATCCAGAAGTTATATTGGCTGCTTTTATCAACTCAATGGCAGGTGGTAAATACATTCAAAACTTGAATTTTGCACCACTTTTCCTATGAACAAATTGTAATCCCCTGGCCTAGTGAAAACAATGTCCTCTTTATATTTGGCTTTGTACTCACTATGGTGTGCAGTTCATTCTGTAATCAGCAGCTCCTTCTGTGATTCTGTGCTACATCTTAGATATAAATCTCTAGGGAATAAAAGCACTTTTTTTTTTTTTCAATCTTAAAATGATTATTTCAGTATAAAGACTAACCAGGGAGGAAAACCAATATTAACTGTGACATAAAAACACAGGTTTTATAACAGACTCCAAGAAATATGCCAGTGTAACATCTGACAGCACCTGTCCTCACAGCTGATGTGTAGACAGTTAAGTGCCCTGAGAAATTTTAGTAACATTCTCTTTGTATTGTAGTTACTGATACTGTCAGTCATCAGAGGAACAGCCAACAGAAGGTCTAAGCAAAGTGATCCCTTAATATAACAATGAGCTTGTAGCCAGTTCACGTTGGAAATAAATTCATATTCTCCTAGAAACTTTTATGCCTAGAAAACCAGTGGAAATATTTAAGACTGCATTTATGTCACGATCTGCAAGGTGCGATTCGTGATGTGTTTCTTTTAGTCAGTCTTAGACTACAAAAGATTATCAGCAAACCAAGGACTTAAACAGCAAAACACACTTTATTGAGTGCTCATCAGCACTAATATGCGATAGAGGGAAAAGAGGAGAAAGCAAAGCATAAGGAAAAGAGAGTAAGGGGATTGTAGCTACCAACGTCGAAGTCCACTCAGCCGTCCTATGACGCAGAGGCTTCTGTCTGTTGGGGAGATCTCAAAGGAAGGTAAGTTTGGGGTATAATTTTATAGTCTTTTGCAAAGCGAGGGGCGCAGGGCCAAAACCAGAGTAGATTGATGATCATTGTGATGAATTGCATTGCACGGGGAGCAGGTGTAGGGTACAGAGCGATCCATGTCTTGCAAATCTTTGCTCACCAGCAGGAACGAGGGCAAAGTGTTGTGGAAAACCCATTGCACAGGGTACCACGCACAAGCCTCTGCTCACCAGCAGGAATGAGGGCAGTGTACCGTGCAACCACCTGCAAATAATCACTTAGCAAACATCCACCTCAGCTAGGCCCAAACCCCCAAACCAAGTCCCTTGTGATATTCAGGGTCTCAGTCTCTGTCCTTGAGACGGTTGTGAGACAGATGAGGGAATCTTCGGACCGTCTCTTGCAACTTCTTAAAAGGAACTGTATTTATTGGCACCAGATCCATTACTCAAATACCTGATTAGAATTCTGCATAAAGAACAAAAGTAACACATGTGGTTCAACACAAAGGTTGTGGTGGTAGAAGCTGCTGTGTAAGGATGTAGTTTTTAGTATAACCAGTTCATAAGATTATGCTTAGTTAAGGCTGTGTCTGTACATACTTTACTACACAAAGGACCACAGTGAAAGAAAAGTGTGTAAGATTAAACTGCTGTAAAGTATTTGCAGTGCACATTTTACATGGTGAACTGGTGCAATAATGGGCTTTATTTCTTACTGTCAGCAGCTGTTCTGGGAGAACAAACTTCACTGCTGCTGAAGAGAACCACTCTTAAATAATGGTCCTGAAATACATCAGTGAGAAGGACTCTTCCTCTCACTGATGAAAATTAATTTCATTAATTTTTCCTTTTTGTTGAGGCACTCAGCATGTGCAGCTGGGCATTTGAAAGGAGTTCTGCTTGAATGTTCCTCTTTTTGGCTTTTCAGTATTCCCCACAAAAAAAAAAACAAAACATCAACTTCGTTGTTCTTGCAAGTCCCTGCACATTAGTTCAGGCAGATTAAAATACAGGTGTTGGTCTACAGAAATGATGACCTGCAGTATTTTACTGTAGTGACAAGCTATTTTTTTAGTTAACTGAAACAATGCAAACATGATTCACCTGTTCTAGATTTTCAGTTGTGAGGTTTTTCACAGTTCTTCAGTTCTATGATTCTGTTCACAAACACCTTCCCATAAACTCTGCAAGCGTGATCTTCCACTCTGAAGTTGAGTAAGGACAAAAGAAGGCGTGAAAACAGGAGGCAGAGGATGCAAAGTGACAAGTGCTTAGTGACCCACATCCACTTTTCTCTTCGAGTCAGACTGGATCATAGAATAGGAAAGAGGCCACACAGCACCAACTTTTTTGATTTGGTACTACAGAAAACCATTTTGTTTTATCTTTGTGACTACACGTGTGTAGATTTTGAGAGTCAGTTCTGCAACAGACATTATATGCAAAGAAATGAAATGGGACTGTCGTAATAAGAAAACATTTCTGATGGATTATTTAGTAATAATTACATATTTTGCTACTGGACCTTCCTAATTTGCAATATGCTGCTATTTTCTTTAGAAGAAAAACAAGCAGAACTTTATAAGACTGTAAATTATTTCAAATTCAATACATGCATCTGAAGCACTAGGAAGACATGACTGAAATTATATATAGTTTTTAAAGATGGTGATGATGACTGCATCCTCTAATAGAAGGGTTTTGTTCTTCACATTTCAAGTGGCAATGGCAATGGTTAAACCATAAGTAGAATGTTCCTTATTGTGCAAAGCCAACAACATGCAGTAGGATGCTGTGAGTTAATAACTTGTAGCATGATGCACTGACTGTGTAAGTAATGAGAATAAAATTATAGAGACCTACTCCTATCTATGGCTCTCCCTTAACACAAAAGGACAGTAACACCCACTGTTTCCTTACTGCTTAGTCCCCTTTATTCTTTTCTGAGTTGTAGGAGACACTACTTCCCTCTACCAGCATGCTTGAGGAGATTGGAAATCAAATTCTAACTAAAGGTTCTTTAGAAAAAAAAGTTGACATCTCTGAAGGCAAAGTATTTAAGTCATCCTCAATATCAGAGATGCAACTCCAGAAGGAGCTCTCCTTGGGGCTCTTGGAAGAAACACTGGAAAATTTTGGGGTGTCTTTATCTTTGTAGATTGTTTAGGATCTCTTTGAAGCAAAGAGCTAATCCTAAAAAAATCCTAAAAACCAAATAAAAGCACAGCATTGTATCTTTGAAAGAGGCTTGCATGACCAGCACTGCTGCTTTAAGCCAATGAACAGTGAAAGGTTCATTGTTGACTCCTGAAATGCTCAGTCTTATCTCTCCAATTTTCAAAGCACATAAATACAAGACTCTTGGAGGAGGGAGGAAAGAGTGTGAGCTAAAGCTAAGCTAAATTCATTCTTCATTCTAAAATAATTTGTCTTTTTCCCCCCACCTCCTCCTACAGTGTTTATACTACATTTGCTTTAGATTCCTGAAAGTTTCAGCTACAACAGTTTCTGGAGAAGCCATTTAACATGCTGCATTTAGCAGCAGCATTAGGAAGATTATGAACTCCAGTAGGGTAAAATGAAAATTGATCACTGTTGGCCAGCACAACTCTTGTCCACACTAGAGTGTTGAAAGGATGGCTACGTAGAAAAGTTTTAGACCATCCTCCTGTGCCAGCTTTGCATGAATCCATCTCATTTAGGTAGTCTATCATGCACAGCATCCAGAGGTGTGACCTTTGTTCTGTTTGCAAGCAAACTTTGCCCTTCATTACACACCACCCCAACATTTCTATAGATAGAAATGCTCACCAGGTAAGCAGCAGTTAGTTAGTTGCAAATTCTACAGCTATACATCTATTTTCAAGTCACTCTGTATACCCTTTGTCTTCTCCTTTTGACTGGTCTCAGGTCTTGTCAAAAATAATAGTTCCACATGTATTTCCTGTACATGGACCTACATACACTCAAATCTTCTGGGACATCAAATGGCTGTAGCAGAATGATGCTGCTGGAATAAGCCAGCTTTCACTTCCTACACACCCACATGTGTTTTATCAGTCCTTGTCTGGCTTATCTTCTGGTGAGATGTAGCTTGTCCCCATATCTCAACTTCCCTGTTTAATAGTAGCTGTAGTTAAATTATTGTCAACTACTCTAGACTTGGTCCTGGAACCACCATCATGTTCATTTGCAATTGCACTAAAAACACTCTCCTTGAGCAGGTGGGAGATTTGAGTGACTGCCAGCAATTCTGATCTTTCTGCATAGTGTGTGTCCTGCTGTCCCAGGGCACAGAGCTCGGAGGGATGATGGGAGTGTGCACGTGTGCAGGATCAGCAGGAAGATGCTGACTGTATTCCATCTGCCACCTTAACAGAAATACTTTGCCTCTGAAGCAGCAACTCCTGCTGAATTAGTGGGAGCAGGTAAATATGTGCTATTTGAAACTTACTATCCAATAAATACCTATTTATCAGCCTGTTTCAGCACCCCTGCTGGTCTTAATTTCTTTGCTGTGATTTCCATAAGCTTTTCTCCATCATCCCTTTTGCAAATTCTTCCTCATCAACTACAATGCCCACTCCTACATCAAATTGTCATGTTCAGAGACAGAGTCTGTGTGAAAACAGCAGGAGAGCTGATCACATATCTAAAGGTGCTGGGGCTTGTACTGCCACCTGTAAAGAAAACATTAATTTTTAACTATTAAGTGACTGCTGCTGTTTAGTATGTGACTGTTGCTCTATTAGGAACGGCGAGAACAACACAGACTCTCTAGGGAGTCAATCAGGAGAATGTCTCATAGTTTATTACTTCAGGTCTGTTTTATAGACTGGTACGTGGAAAGTACAGAAAGGAAACTCTTATTGGTTAGTAAACTACTACATTACCATCATTGGTCAGTGGGGCACACTACCCCCTGACTTTCTCCTGCAAAGAAAACAAGAGACAGACAACAATACCTGCAAGGCTGTTTTCTGTCTTTGAGGATTGTTTTGAATCCTCCCATGAATTTCCCAGGCCAGCTTCTCAGGCAAGACTGAGAAGCTATATGGCCTGCAGTTTCACAAGCTCTCTGTTACAGAGTTAGCATCCACAACTCACCTGTTTCGTTTAGAAAAAAATAAAAATGCACAGTGTTTGTGATCTCCTGCTGGGCCCTTGCAGGAAAGAGAACAAACACAGCACAAGAGGTTTTTTTTTACCAGAACTCTGAATGGATGCTGATTTAGAATGTTGGCTTATGTTTTTGGTGTTTAAGAATTGTTTTCTTTGTAAGGACTTGATGGTTGACTCTAATACAACTAGTTCAGTGAACTAACACACACACACTATATAAAACATCATTAGTTAGTCTGCTTGAAATTGACAGTCTAACTTGTCGACAGGTAAGAATGTTCAGTCTCTGCTTGTAGAAGGACCATCTGAATGATGGTTGGTATCTTGATCATCATCTGAAGGTCGCCTGTTGGCTGCTTTCTGCCTTTGGTGTTGCAGATCAGGGCGAACGCACCTTGCAGGTATCCACCATACCCCAGCATCTGTGGAAATGCATGCATACCCACGACCCCAAGCGATGAGCTCACACGGGCCTTGCCACTTGTTAGTGGTTAAGTCTCTCACCCAAACTTTCGCTCGAGGCAGGTGCACCTCACCTGAGGACTGCAATGAAAGAAAATTATTCAAAATGACAGGGTTATCCGAATTCTTTTGCACTGTGAGATGGTTGATTGTATACAAAGCTTTCTCCAGCCGGCTGTGTGGAGTTTCTCCAATCATCCCAGTTTTTTGTTTTTCTAGAACACGTTTTAGGGTACCATGAGCGCATTCGACAATAGCCTGCCTAGTGGGAGAATGTGGGATACCGAATATGTGAAACTCCCCATAACTGTAAAAACTGCCATGTTTTCTGTGAGGCGTAGGCAGGACCATTGTCTGTTTTCACAGAAGAAGGTATGCCCAAGACTGCAAATGCAATTTTCCAATGGGCAATAACATCACGACCCTTTTCCCCGGTGTGAGCAGATGCCCACATAGCAGATGAGAAGGTGTCAACAGACATGCACATACTTAAGTCTGCCAAATTCAGCAATGTGAGTAACATCTGTCTGCCAAAGCTGCAGGGCTTTTAACCCTCTGGGGTTCACCCCTGCTGGCAGAGGTGCAGCAAGTCCATGACAGCGCAAGAACTGACAATGTCACGAGCTTCAGTTGGTGTTAAGTGAAACTGTTTTTGCAAAGTATGTGCACTTTGGTGGAAGAAATGATGCGATGCCTTAGCTTGTGCAATTTTGTCAGGCTGAGGTGCTACCCATGTAGGGTTAGCTAACCTATCAGCCCTGGCATTACCTTCTGCTATGAACCCTGGTAGATTGGTATGATTCTGAATATGCAGGATGTAATATGGGTGAACTTGAGCTTGGATTACACACCACAAAGACTTCAGCAGCCGAAATAGACGCTCATTATCAACTTCCTTCAGGAGCACACAATCTAAGCGCTTAGCGAGATCTGCTACATAAGTAGAATCAGTATCTAAATTCAGTGGTACCTGAGAAAACCGCTGGAATGCCATGGTTGCGGCCCTTAGTTCGACTAACTGGGTTGAGCCTGACTCATGGCCTTCCAGCACTTGCCATTCAGATTCATCCTTCCATGTAACAATGGCTTTCCCCGTTCTTCCTGAACCATCAGTGAAAATGGTGGGTCCTTGCACCGACACCCGACTACTCTTTTGCCGAAAGGACAATTCAGCTGACCCTGCTAATTGCAACAGTTTGTGGCTGGGCAGATGATAAGCAACCTGCCCTGAAAAGTTTTGCAGCGTACTCTGTAAAGAGGCACTGTTGGTCAGACTCCATTCAAATTCCTCCCACCGTATTGGGAGGACAATTTTTCCAGGGTCAGCTGCCATTAACTGCAAACACCGCTGACGGCATTTAAATATCAATTGAGCAACCAATTCAAATAATGTGGGGGCTGTCTTTTTCGGTTGATGGGGCAGAAAGATCCATTCTAAAATGTGCAAAGGATCAGACCATTGTTCACTCCATTGGCCAATGATACCTGTAGGATGAAACTCTGGACAAGTAATAAAAACGGTGATATCAATGGATGGATCCACACGGTAAACCTGCCGAGCAGAAACAGCCTGCTGAACATCCTCCAGCGCTTGCTGCGCTTCAGGAGTCAGCTCTCGAGGCGAATTCAGATCAGGGTCCCCCTTCAAAAGACTGAACAATGGGGACAACTGTGCTGTGGTCAGCCCTAAGTAAGGACGCAACCACGTGATGATACCCATCAATTTTTGGGCATCATTCAGAGTCTTGATAGAATCCATGAATTGCACCTCTTGATGGCAAATGGTTCCATCTAAGATTTTGACTCCTAGGTATTTCCAAGGAGGATGCTGCTGAACCTTTTCCGGAGCTACTTGCAGGCCATAAGAATGCAGAGCTCTGAACAGCAGGGGCTGTATCCTCAGCAGTTCATCCTGGGTGGATGCCGCCACCAGGATGTCATCCATGTAATGATAACAATAAGCTTCAGGGAATTGCTCACGGACCCCAGATAAGGCCTGAGCTACATACCACTGACAAATAGTCGGGCTGTTCTTGCAGCCCTGTGGCAAAACTTTCCATTGATACCTCTGCACGGGTTCAGCATTGTTGATCGTAGGCACTGTGAAAGCAGACTTGCATTTATCATCAGGTTGCAATGGGATTGTAAAAAAACAGTCCTTTAAATCAAGGATCAGGATTTTCCACCCCATGGGAAGCATGGTAGGTGATGGCATGCCAGGCTGCAATGCCCCCATGCTTTCCATGACTGCATTGATCTTGCGGAGATCCTGCAACAACCTCCACTTCCCAGATTTTTTCCTGACCACAAAAACGGGACTGTTCCAGGGACTAGTGGAAGGCTCAATGTGTCCCTGCTGTAACTGTTCTTGGACTAATTCACGAAGGGCAACCAATTTCTCTTTTGCCAGGGGCCACCGGTTTTCCCAGATGGGTGTGGTCACCAGCCACTGTAAAGGCAGCGTGGGAAGCTGTGTGCCCTTCGCCACAGTGGCCCCCATCAAAAATGTGTCCCAATCTGCACCCCCCATGCTGCCAAAACATCCCGCCCCCAGAGGTTAAGTGGAGCTGCAGTGACATAAGGCCAGACCGTAGCTGTTTGCCCTTCTGGGTTTTTGATCAGCACGGGCCGCTGGCTCACAAATGTCTGTGCGGTACCTCCCAGTCCCTCAATGGCCAAACCCATGGGAGTCAAGGGCCAGGACGGAGGCCACGCAGAGAAGGAGACGATCGTCACATCTGCCCCGGTGTCGATGAGACCTTGAAGCTGAATTTGCAGCGGGCTGGCAGTTGGCAGACTCAGGGTACACGTCATTTGAGGCTGCTGAGTGGAGATACAGGCAGACCAAAGGATTTGGGGCAGTCCAGTAGATCCAAAGCCACCTTCCCCACGAGTCCGGTCAACAGTCCTAGGAACACAGGACTTAAAAGGCACAAGTTGAGCAATGCGAGTTTTTTCAGGGATGGTAACAGGGGGAAGGAGTAGAAACCAGGGCACAAATCTGTCCCATAAGGTCAGCATCAATGACTCCTGGGTGTACAAAAATGCCCTGTAGGGTTGCACTAGATCTTCCCACAAGCAGTGCACTCAAGCCTTGACCCAGAGGACAAAAAGCATCCAGGGGAACCTTATATACATGACCGGAATCTAATGTAACTGTTGTTGCGGTATATACATCCACTCCTTCAGCCCCCTGGGTGCTGCCTCTAAGCTGGCTGAGTAGGCCTGTGGGGGGGCTGTGCCCTGGGAACTCACTTGTGTCAGAGCGCAGTTCCCCCGTACGCTCTTGTACGCGTTTCCCGAATCCACCAAAAGCTGACCATTGGCATGATATCTAGATCTACATTGATCAGCAAAATGACCTGGCTTGTGACATCTAGCACACAAGAACTTTCCCTTTCCTTTTTTATTCTGCTGCACCTGCTTAGCCTTGCCCTGAGCATCCTTTTGCTTCTGGGAACTACTCTGGCAGCCTGGTTGTTTTGATGCTAGAGCAGCTGCCAGAGCAGACATTTTGTGCCCCACAGAGCCCACTTTGGCACAGGCTTGGACCATCTCTGGTATCGAGTGGTCTCCTGGAAGAGCCTCTATGATCTTCCTACAGTCTTCATTAGCATTATCTCTTGCTAGTTGTTTATACAAGAGCTGTCTCGGGTTATCATCTTCAACCTGTTTCTTCAAGGCTGCTGCAATTTTTTCAACAAATGGCAAGAAGGGTTCCTTTAAACCTTGAGTGATGGTCACATATCGTGCCCTGGGAGCAGCTGTTTCTATAGTCTTCAGCAATACTCCAATACCAATTTTTTGCCCTTGCTCAAGGACTCTAGGGTCCCAACGGGACGAGATCAGGATTGGAAAACTCGCCCACACCCGTAAGGGCCTCTGTTCTGACCCCATGTCTGGGATCGTGTGCAGGCAGACGCGTATTCCCGTCTGCAGCCTTCTGAGCCATCTGTCTCCAATTATCTTCAAAAACTTTAAATTGCACAGGCTGGAATAATACTTGAGCCAGGTGCCTAATATCAAATGGAGCAAGCAGATTAGTGTCTATCACCCTAATGATCTGCATAACCTCGGGAGATCCAAGCCCGTACTGTGCTGCCTTACTCTGTATATCCTGTACCACCTTCCATGCCATCACATCATGCCTGTCAGCCTGTCCCATATTCGGGGCAGCCTTAAACACAGGGAAGGCTCAGGCCGCCCCTTGGGTTGCCCCTTCGACTTCCCGTTCCAGCCGGACCCAGTCATCAGAAGCCGAAGCGGCTTCCGGTCCCCCCTGCTCCAGCACCCACCGTGTTAAAAATTCCGGTCCCGGGTGTTCCCAGCCTCTCGAGCAACTCCCAATCTCCCATTTCCAAAGCTCGCTGTTTCACCACGTCCCAAAAACGTGCCCGACGCTTCGGATACGCGGTCACCGGATGGGGTGGGGACGGCCCAAGATGGTCCCAGGGCAGGCTGGCAGCTGGGTCATTCCAGGCACCAGAAGAGGCGGGCGGGCCGGCTGCTTCAGGCAATGTAAATTGTCGCTCGGAAACCAAAGCGGGTACGGCGGCAGAACAGCTGCAGCGGATCCGGGGGAGGGGCGGCGCCGGCACAGGCATGGGCCCCATGGAGAACCCCCCGCTGCCGCTGTGGCAGAACAGCTACAGCTGGCCCGGGAAGGGGGCGGCGCCGGCACAGGCAAGGACTCCATGGAGGGCAGCGGTGGGGGCGGGAGAACCCCCTGCTGCCACTGGCGGCGGTGCTCGCGGCGTCGGTCCTGGAGAGGGAGATTTCTGGTTCGCAGGCTGCTTCCGCCCGCAGCTAAAGTCCTCCAAGGACCCGGGCTGAGCCGCGGGAGCGCTACGCTGCTCATCCACGGTCCCATCCCCCAGTCTCTCATCTTGTACAAAGGAGGCACTCCTTGCATCTAAGTCTTCCATCCCGGCCTCGCCGTCCTCAGACTGGCACCGTTCCAGTGCTTTAAAAAGCACCCCCCAGGTGGCTGCCAGACTGCACACACTGGTATCCCCTTCAGTTAATTCAGCCCATAAACGGTCCCCCACCGACAGCCAAACCTCGAGATCAAAGGCATTATCGACAGTCACAGCAAAACCTTGCGCTTTTACCCACTGGAACAAAGCGCGCATAGCATCTTCAGAAATACTGAGTCCCATGCACGGCAAGGCATCCTGCCATGCAAGGTAGACAAGCTGTTCATTAGCTGAATTGCAGTTCCTCATTATGAGAACTGTTTATCTTGATGGCTTTGCGAATGCAGTGATGCAGACACTATCGGCTTAAACCCGGGATTTTGAGCTCTGCTTCGCCAAGATAAGCCGTTCCAAGCCCACTCACTGGCAGGGCTCCACTATCCTGTTGGTTTAAAAACCAGCTCTCTCTAGGAAAGCCCGGGAGAATCTCACTTACCCCTCTGGGGGGAAGTGGCTGGCTCGTTGCCCGCTGTCTGCACACCCTCAGGGGTCCCTAGATGCACATCACGTCGGCGGTCACCAGATATCGCTCTATTAGGAACGGCAAGAAGAACGACACAGACTCTCTAGGGAGTCAATCAGGAGAATGTCTCATAGTTTATTACTTCAGGTCTGTTTTATAGACTGGTACGTGGAAAGTACAGAAAGGAAACTCTTATTGGTTAGTAAACTACTACATTACCATCATTGGTCAGTGGGGCACACTACCCCCTGACTTTCTCCTGCAAAGAAAACAAGACAGACAACAACACCTGCAAGGCTGTTTTCTGTCTTTGAGGATTGTTTTGAATCCTCCCATGAATTTCCCAGGCCAGCTTCTCAGGCAAGACTGAGAAGCTATATGGCCTGCAGTTTCACAAGCTCTCTGTTAGAGTTAGCATCCACATGTGACACTCCTACAGCTGTTTCAATACACTATAGCAAAGAACATTAAGGCTGTGTTCTATTTCCAATTTAATCCCCTTCTTCCTTGCTCTTAACTCTGGACTTTATCCATCTGAGGAGCCTTAGTCTAGCTTGATACTGCAACCACTGGAGATAGGCAGGCAGCACCTCTGCAAGTACCAAATACCCATCCAGACCAAGAATAAAAAACTGTCTCTTTGTTCTGCTTTAGTTCTTTCTTTCTCTTGTTAACCCAAAATTGTTATTCTGTGGATAAAATATAAAGCTATTACTCATTTGCCAAGTAAATGCTAAAGGTTTAACAATCACAGTGATTAAGATTTTTAGCATGTGGTTGATACTGTGGGTTTGGTTTCTTTACATCAAGCTTCACAAAGATAATGCTCAAGTGTTAACTACTGAAACAGACAGATCTGACTGACAGAGAAATCATGGGTCAGGCAGACCCAAGTGAAATCTTAACATGAATCAGAAGCAGTTCCTTGCCTTTGCTGTTCTCTCTGTGGAGAATAAAGGTAAAGCCAACTCTCCTGCCTGTGCTAGTTGTCCCCTGGCTCAGCAGCTGGAGGAGTGCTTTGTGCTGATCACAGGCCCTGAAAGGTCTCAGGAGTCACAGAACAGTCATCCAGGAGTCCCTGAAGGCAATCAAGTTGTACATTGTACCTCCTGTTTCTAAACATGTTCTGCAAAAAAAATACAGTGCTGACCTGTGATTGAATCATGCATCCCAGGGTGGTTTTCTCTTAGCAGCCTTTGGCTGGTAGAAGTAAGGTGGGTAAGGAACTTCAACAAGCTTGTGGAACTTAAATCATTCCACAGGAACTGAAACAAATGTTAGGCCTTATGCAGTCTGCATACATCCAGCAAGGCAGAAAGATTAATGCTTTTATTTCACACCAGTCCTGATTCAGTCACTTAACATCACAGGTCAGTTTCCCTCAACCAACATTCAGCATCTTTCTAGAGTAAAGGTAAGGAGGATCAATCATTTTGAGAGCAATTAAACTTATCAGAGTTAAATATATACTATAAGGATTACACAGTTTTGTGTAAAGTGTACTAAAACAGAATTCTAACACTGCAATGCATTTCAAAAACACTACGTTTCTGATTTCTCAGAAAGCTCCATGGGAGCCAAGACTTGGGAATTAACATCAGAAAAAAACAAATGGCAATAGGCCTCCCGCACCATATAATTCTTAACAGTAGGACAGTCTGGCCCTTGTTTGTTCTTACTGTTTATGGATTTCTTGGTGTAATTTTCTGTTTGAGAGAGATTAATGGTGAACTACAATTTGTGGATACTGTGTAATTACATTGCTAAATAACTGCTACTCCAAAGTGAGTGAGAAGAAAGAAAGCATTGAATCTTAGAAGGCCTATTTTTTATCCTTTATTTTTGAGCACATGGCTAAGGGGATGATCCCCTAAATACAGAAAAAACAGGCAAATTTAAAGTAGCAAATTTTCTCAAGGGGCCTGTGTAAACTTCCAGCACAGATTTCATCAGCATGTTAATTAAGAGCTGCAGGTAAATAGTCTTCAGTTTAAAAAAGGCCTAAGTGATAAAGTGACTCACTGTCTCCAGCCAGAGGCACATTCTTCATGCCATGATTCTGTTCCACACAAATTACCCAGAATTATCCGTGACTACTGGGGCCCTGCCTGTGCCACCACAGCCAGACAAATAGAAATACAAGCTTTGCACACCAGCTCTCACAGTCCATGAAGGTGGCTGAACTTCAAAGGTTTACAACACATAATGGGTTTACACAATGCTGCTCTAACCATCTTTTGTTTTACTTCTCTGCTGACTTGTAGGTCTTAGGGAGAAGCGTAATAAATGCCTTTGTTTTGTGAGGTGCCAAGCCAACTAAGACTTAAACACTGCACATAACCATCCCTACAAGAAAAAGGATAATTCCTTTTCAAGAATATGAAACCCGGTCACATTCTTCGAGTTGCGATGGGCCTGCAACACTCACAGGGGAAGTCTCACACAGGCATTATTTCTTCAGACATGACTATGAAACCTTCATTTGCAGTCAGTTCAGGAACTAGTTCATGTAATCTGGCAAGGAGACAGAAGTAATACTGGGTTCTAAAGTATTCACTTATCCCAAATTTATCTGAATGTGGTAGCCAGCTCTGATACTGATAATCAGTCCACACCAACCCACATAAAAGAATCAAGCTCTGTTTCTGTGCTTGCCTATACTGACTATGCCAAACCAGTAAAAGAAATGCCATCTGTGGTGAGATCATCATGGTGTCCCTTGTCACTCAGAAGTCATATGCAGCATCAAGGAGTTCAGATTGGGCAGGCCAGGCTGAGACATGTCTCTGTGCAGAGAAAAGGGTACAACCCCCTGCTACTGTGGAGAGAAGTCACTCTGACATTCCTGCACTGACTTTAGTAGGCAGGACAGAAGGTCAGACATGTGTAAGATACAGTCAGTACAGTGATTGTGCAGTGCTGGAGCTCTTGAGCCATCTCCTGTGTGAGCTCCATGATCTGCCCCTACCATCACTTGGCCGTGACTTGCCTGTACTCTACAGACTGTGGCGGTCCAACCTGCCACCACCTCGAGACTACATTGGCCAAAGGTGTGTTGGCACTAAATAAAAGGGCAGGTCATTGGAGTAGTCCGAAAACCAAAAGGGTTTAATGACAAAAATAACAAACAGCAGAATCTGAACAGCAGGGTTAACAACCACAATATAGGACAAGTCCAAAGACCCCAAAATGGGGTAGGTGGGATACATTTATAGAGTAAAGTAAACGGTGGAGCCTGAGGCTGAGGGTCCAATAGGAAGCGGGTATTAGGAATATGCAAAACTCTGCACCAAATGACAACCAATCAGGGGGAAGAACTGGGGAACCTTCTAGAACTACAACCTTATATGAACAGAACTATTACTAAACTATTTCCTAGGAATCAAAGCTGCTTGAATCATGCTCACCCTAAGTTGTGCATTGATTAGGTTAACTACAGACTGGGTTCCCATGGTGTCTAAGTTGATGCTTTTAGGCAGCTCAACTCCCACAGCAGACCCTCTCCACCAGCAGTAGAAAGGGCTTAAGAGCTCCTCTGCAATAACATCCAACTCTCCTGAGACAAGTGGCAGATCAACACTGGCAAATGCTTGACCAAAAGCCCTCAAAGAGGAAGGAAAAGGAGTAGAATTCCCTGTGTGGCTTTGGACTGCTGAAGGCCATTTTAAAACCTACCCTCTCCCCATTCTCCAAATCTCCTTTCAGTTCCTGAACATCTGTCAAGCAAAGGTCAGTGAATGGACACACATACTCCACACAAGCCTCCTTCCAACATCCCTCCAGCTCCTGTCCAAAGCTGCAGCGGTGGCTCGGTATTTGACAGTACTGGAAAGTTTGGTGTGGATGGCATGGGATACAAAACTTGGGTAGAATGTCCTTCTGGGACACAAGAAGGGAAGTTGCTTTGCAGTTTTTTTAAGACTGGCAAGAACCAGCCTCTGTTTAGTGAGCTGACAGTGCCTACTTTATCATTTTGGACACAGAGCTTCCTGCAGAAGCAAGTTTTAGTCAGTGACCTGACCTCTGGGTACAAGACTGTTCCACAGGAACAATAAATCTCTCTGTCACAG